TAAACTATAGCATCTACCAACCCAATTTGGAAACACTTTTCGAATTAATTGATTTACGATAGAAACTAGCATAACAAACGAATAATGAAATGATGCAGCATTAAACGAAGTCTTTCCCGTGCACGACTCGTCCTCGAGCAACCAAAACGATCGAAGAGCTCACACCTGCGAAATAGGCACGGTGGACCTTGGGTAATTGCAACATTGCAAGCCTCTTGCTAATTGCAACGTCGACGTCCCTGCCTCGTTTCTCCAGCGATTTCAATGTCTCCCGCATGTTCCACGATGCAGACTCTACGCGATAATACGTAATCGCTGAAACGTGAGCGCCCACGCGAATGCCTTCGAACGCGAGTGTTGAACCCTTCGAACTCTGTAGGTTACAATATTGAATATTTTAATGAAACAAAACAACTACTAAAATCTTTAGATTTTCCACATATCCAAATTTTGTACTGAAAAGGGAAATAAAAGATCGAAGGAATATTATAGCATTTTTTATTTTCACTAGAGATACTATAAAAATTAGTTGCAGTTGCTGATAGATTACCATCTGTAGTGCTAAGGGTTAACCCTTTGAACTCTCTAGGCTTCAATATTGCACCAGTTACAATATTAAATATTTTAACGAATCAAAGAAACTACCCTAATATTATTATATTTTCTGTTATTATTAGATTTTCATTAAAAGATCAAAGGAATGTTACAGCATTTTTCATTTTCACTAGAGATACTATAAAAATTAGTCGCAGTTGCTGATAGATTACAAAACAACCTGGAGTGCTAAGGGTTAAAAGACACCGTTCAATCAGATCCAGACACGATTTACGATCTCTCTATCTCGCCCACGCCCACGCGACGACTTCCCCGCAACGGGTCGAAAGAAATCTAACGAGGCTATCGGTCCGATAAACGCGCGAACGCCGCCTCCAGCAGCGCAGAAGCTTCGACGCGAGCAACGAAAGAGAAACGCGAATTCACTGAAAGTGAAACACGAGCAACGAGCTAACTCGTCCTCCCCGGTCAACGGGTTAATATCGCAACACGACCGGCTATGCAAAAGGAGAGCCTTTCTCTTTCCGAATTACTTTCCCTGCGGCCATCCGGAACGCGCCGTTCGGCACGTCCGATCGCTCGGGAATAGGCGATAGATCGCGCTGCCACGGTCAACGGACGAAAACGCCGAAGGGAAACGATCGTTCGGAGAAGTCCGAGCACGGAGAACCCGAAATTATCTGGCCATAAGGCCTTGTTTCTATTACTCTTTCACGACTAGCGAAAGCTCGGTCCTGCAACGCCAAGGTTGCCGATATTCTATCCGATCGTTTCACGCTCGACCGAAGAATCAGTGTTTTCAAACGATTTTTATCACCTAGAGTGAAGTATTCTTAACCCCTTGGCATATTTACTTTAGTTACTAGGCTCGTGTAACGTTTTACTATCGACAGTTTGTGAGAAATACAAAATTGTCCATTCTACTTCAGGTGGAAATTTCATTTGAAGATACATTGATAATAGCAAAATAGTTTGCTTTGATCCGTCGGTAATGAGTAACATCGATTGTTGTTAAATTAGTCTAGAAATCTTCATCGCGAGTCTCACTCGTCATTCTACAAGTGGTTAACCCTTTGCACTCGAGAGGTGACTCTGTCACCACTTGATTTGATTTGCAAAATCATAAAGTTTTATATATAATATTAAGCTTTGCATAGCTTTGTTATATATTGTAACTTGCTTCTTAATTTATATATGTTTCCTCGTTAATTAGTTTCAAAGAACATCGTCTGTATCTCATGAAGAATGAAAACATTGATTCTTGTTAAATTAGTTTGGAAATCTTCATCGCGAGTCTCGCTCGTCATTGTGCTCACTTGTCATTGGGTTGAACAGAGATTCTCCTTTTTCCTTAATCGTTGAGCAGTTCGTTCTCTAACATGCCCTCGAGAGCGAAACAAGACAGCCAGATGGATTATTCGTGTTACTTTCGGACAGTTTTCACCGGTCGGCGATCGAAGTTTCGCCGTCGAGCGAGTTCGGCCAGCGAACCGAGGCCTGCAGCGTTTCTTTTCGCGCAACGTTCATTGCGACAGCCCTTGAACTTTATCGAGCCAGGCCTCGACCATGGGAGCAACGCTCTAGCCAAGAGATCTCCTTGCAAACCGGTCGCGGAACCTATCGAGTTTCTTCCTCGCTTTCGTCCACGGAAACGTCGAATTCGGCTGACGGGAAACGAACTCGTTCAATGTCGTCGCGCGACCGATCTTTCCTCTCGTCGAGGTGAGTTCGGTCCTGGTCGAACTTGACTTTGTCGAAGGAAATTCAGTGGACTGATGGAAGGTCGCTGAAAGAATCACCGGTTTTTTGTAGTTTTTCTCTTAGCATTTAGCGGACGAATGTTGACGTTTGTCGGGATCAAATTTTCACGTTTGAGATGATTGAGATGCTATTGAGTGCAGCTATTGAGACTTCAATGGATTTGCACTGCAGTTTCTCTATTGCTAAATAAATTTCTCTAGTAATTTCTCACATCATCCTCGAACGAGACGGCAAAACGAAACTCGATCGAATCGCACCGGCATTCTTCGTCGGATCAAGATAGAAACAACGCCGGCGTGTCACGTGCGATCATCGAACTTGACTTTGAAAAGACGAATACATACACGAGAGCCGAAGTGGCACGCGAACGTGTGGGACCCACCGCGAGTTTCATTTCTACACGCACGTCCATTTTGTGCGAGTGGAATCGGCAATAAGATATCAGTCGCTCGGAAGCCGATGCGGTTGAGTCCAGGAAACAGGGATTCAGAACATTTACATCTTGTCTACAAGATTCTGATGATTATACAACATATTCAGAAAAACACAAAGAAGTGAGTGAGTCCTTAATAACAACAGAATATTATTCATTCCATTAAAATTTCGACAAACCAGAGAGTATCAAGAAATGAGTGAATCCTTAATAACTAAACAGAATATTATTCATTCCATTAAAATTTCGACAAACCAGAAAATATCAAAAATTGGACTTAACTGCCAAATGAAAGTTCCACTTGATAGGAAGATACGAATTGTCGAATTACTAACGCTGTTGACGCCTTCACTGAAATATTTTAAGTACAGCGTTGTTTCCCGGAAAAATGGGAACCTAAAATATCGTACAAACTTATTCTTATTCTAATACTCTCAACGAGTATTCTTTCATGTAAGAAATATCAGAATATTCATCGACACGGCTACCAAAGATCAGGACGGACAATGACGAGACTGATGTAAGAGAGATTTCACCCGATGACATTGGTCCGGCCCGATGAGATGGCGCGTCGCCGGAAGCCGGTTACGAAATGCCTCGATGTTTCACCTGGGCCGTTCTTCGTCGTACGATGACGCGACGATTTCCATCCCGTAACCGCAATCCATCGTTAACGCAACGGGGACCCATGATTAAGACTGCAACACGTACGCGCGCGGTCCGCGGAGACCGGCTCGGCTCGGCTCGGCTCGGCCATGATTAGATAATATTACTTTCTTCTCGAATAGAAAGTCTCGCTCGGCGGAATCGCTGGGTGCCAGGCTCTCTCGACGGGTGTCGTAATCCAGCGTTGGTAATGAAAATTATGTATTAACCGTCGCGGACCGGGAACGTTCGTTAAAAGACGTTCGATTTACGACATCGACGAGCAAACGTTGCCTGCTCGCGAGAGAACCGATCTTGTAGCTTCGAGGACGAGTAAATCGCTGATTAACCCTTTGAACTCAGTAGCCTCCAATATTGCACCAGTTAGAATATTAAATATTTTAATGAATCAAAGAAACTACAATTATTCGCATTTTTCTTTTTTTATAATACAGAAATGTTTTCAAATAAACATCGTTCAATTTAATGAACTATAGCATCTCAGCTTGATTGGAGGTCACCGGTGACCCCCATGGTATTCAACGTGTCAATTGAATCGTTTAACAGTAGAACTACCGAGGATTTAGTTACGATTGATATGGAACCTCTATGAAAATTCTAACAATAGATTATCCTCGTGATAGCGTTCGAGTGGAACTATTTATTTCTGAAATCATTTCGATTCAATGCCTCGGAGATATCAGTCATTTCGACTGGTACGGTAGGTCTAGTGTTAAACAATCAACTATTCATCCGTGATTCCCTTCGATTTGCAATTTAGCTGCTTCCGGAGAACATTCTGATTACTTTAACACTAGAACTACGAAACAGTCAAACTGACTTCAGGAGAATCGCCTGTTATCTTTGTAATTGTAAAAAGAAGGGATCAGGAATGGGTCATTTTGACTCTAGTTCTATCGTCAAGGAATCCTCGATCTCAAAGGGTTCATCTCGAGTGTCGTTACCATTTAACACATCGACGAGCAGTCCGTGTTCACTCTCTAATTCGGCAGCAGCTAGTAAAGGAATCGTTTCATGGCGTGCAGGTTCGTTTTCGACGGAATTTCGACGGAAGCCAGGTCCGGAAACGGTCTCTGGTCGGTTGAGGGGAAAGTGTCTTGGCTAAGGAAGTGGGTCATCGGTTACAGCTAGTCGGCCAACGCCATAAAACTCTATAGCGATGCGTAGACAGGTATTTAGCTGCTCGCCGTCTCCATTCGATCGGTTAACCCTCGGAAGACGAGGTCACAGCGAGTCGCGCAGCCTCCGGATCCGCCTCGACCTCTGCTCGTTTCCCTTTCTAATTATATTCTCGGGACACGTGGATCTTCTCGCGGTCCTAACACAAACAACTGTCACCTCTGATAGGCCATCGTGAGCCGGGGAATTATATGGGGCACTTACGAGCCTGCTTGGAAATAAACGTCGTCGCTCGAGAGTTGGCCGCGGGAAGACCGGAACAGGAAGCTTCTCGAGACTGCTGGTTATAAAATTCAAAAATTAGGATGTCGCTAGAGATCGATACGAACAAATCGTTGTCAACCCTTTGCGGACGAATGTTGATTATATTATAATATTTCTATAATATTCATTACAATATCTTTGCTATTCTATCCTGCGTGACTATCACGAAACACACAAAGTGACCTTTCAAATTTCAAATTACCCCATTAAAAATCAAATTACCCTACAACGGCCTCACATTATGAAACACCGTCCTAAACCTTGTTCACCTCCGTTCGTTTCGCAGTGGACGACGCCTCGGGCCGCTACACGAACAGCTTCTTCTGGGGAAACTCGTACTACGTCGGCTCCTCGACGGAGTGCGTCTACATCAACGAGAATTACAGCAGGAAGATGAAAACGGTCGTGAAGCCGGCAATGGAGGAAGCGGCGGAGTTCAACGCGGAACCGCAGAAGCGGAACGCCGGTCTCACCGAGAACAACTTCTGGAGCGAGTCGATGACGGTGAAGCCGCCGTACAAGCTCGGCTTCTACATGATGACGATCTCGATAAACGCCTCCGTGTCGCCAGTGGTAAAAGCGAGCAGAATCTCTTCCCAGTTCTTCCACGTTATAATTTCCACGTTACCTGAAACTAATCGTTACGTTATTTGCAGACCAGGACGATTTATCTGGGCGTGTGCCTACCTTTCTCGTGCGCCGCGTCGGACGTCTCGGTGATAGCGAGGCTAGCCGCCAGCGACCTCGCGGCCAGACACTCGTCTATCCTGAAGGTCCGAGATCAGCACAACAAGTACAACATGTACGAGGACCCGATCTTCTGGGCGCTGCTGTACGTTTCGTTCGAATCGGTATAGTTTAACCCTTTGAACTCTGCAGGCTCCAATATTGCAACAGGAATAATATCAAATATTTTAATGAATCTCAAAGAAACTACCCTTCAATTATTAGATTTTTCACAGATCCAAATTTTGCGCTAAGAAGGGAAATAAAAGATCTAAGAAACGTTATAGCATTTCTAATTTTCATACTTCGCACTCGAAAGTTTTCCACTAGAAATATTTGAACATTTTCTATTTTATTTCAATATTTCTCGAACTGACGCATCCTACGAGGTATAATATTAAATATCAAATTTTATAGTTTCGCTGTATGAAATCAAGTGGTGAGTCACCTCCCGAGTGCAAAGGGTTAATAATTATTCCTATTTATCTTATCTTAAGTACGTAAAACGCTGATTCTCGTGGTAGTGAACGTATTAACCTACACATTGAAATTGCTTTATTATCCTCATGGTAAACGTTAAAGATACTCGTGACGCAGAATCCAGTCCTAACGCTAAGAATCTTTTCAGTGGTGGAACTACCATGGTGTTCGTCCTAATGGCGATCAGCTCGGCGTACGACATATACGTGACGCGAAAGTACTCGCGAAGGAACGTGATCTACGACTTGGAGAAGCACGCGAAGCTGGAACAACTAGCCGGCAGAAATCAAAAGCCGTTAAGTGGTAAGACTCGTACTGCCTTCTCTGTCCTTCCTTCTCTTTATCCCATACATTCACGATCTCTCTCTCTCTCTCTCTCTCTCTCTGTCTCATTCCCGTTCTACGCGGTGCAAACGACAGGACCCTGTGTCCTCCCAAGCGGAGAGAAAAAAATGATGATGTACACTAACACTTACAGACTTATCGCTAGAGACTAAGACAGTCGCAGAGACAGTGACACACTTTTATTATTATATTCCGTAGCTTTTCAAGGTAAGGTCTACCTTCCTGTTCCAGCGGCTGAGGTAATCATCGGCAGCCCCCAATCGTTACCGGTTAATAATAACAACGATCACGAGGGTAGCCTGCGATCGAGCACGCCGGAAGTCTACAAATTCAGTAAGCGGCGACCATTTTTGCCGATCAGATGTGCGGAGCGTATAATCTAGTAACTGGAACAGATTATAATTCTTATTAGAAGACAGTAGCGAATAGCGCAATATTCTTCTACCTTCAATGAGAGAACATTAACACGTCGAACGGTTTCATAGACAAATTTTCTACAAAATACACGAGATGGAGAAAGTATATTTAATCATTTGCAAAATTATAAAATTTGGTACTTACCATTAACCTTTGTATACTGCATCGATACGTGATTTATGTATGATTTCTTGTTAAATTCATTTTAAAGAATCTTGTCTACATCTAATTAGGAAATACAGAATACTTCAAGCGAAAAACTTTCGAGTGCAAAGGGTTAATCATTTGATTGAATTGTATTGTTATTGCTGCATTCTAGCTGAATGTCAGCGCGTTAAGCATTGTTTATAATGTAGAAATGTTTTCGAATAATCGTCGTATAATTGAGTGAATTATAGTTATTCGATTTGCTTGGGTCACCGGTGACCCAATGGCATTCAACGTGTTAACGCAAATACTGTCTATCTCATCCGAAAGTGTCGAACACTTCCAGCAAAAAGCATCCAAATGCAAAGAGTATATCTCTCCCAGTTACTAGAATCCCTGCACGCGAAGCGAAGATGTCGCAATAGAGTGAACCGCGAAATTTGTCCGCAGGCGTGTTGGAGGAGCTGTTGCTGTCCTTCTCAGTCCCGGCGAACGTGAGGATCATCTGCGAGGGGAAAGTGGGCGGCGACACGATCAGCACCATCCACGGTCTCCGCGTGATATCGATGGCATGGGTGATCCTCGGGCACACCTGCATCACCGCGTTCAAGTACGCCGACAACATGGAGTACCGGAAGGTCGTCGAGAGGAAGTTCTTCTTCCAGACGATCACCAACGGCGCGTTCAGCGTCGACACGTTCTTCTTCATGGGCGGGCTGCTGGTCAGCTTCCTGTTCTTCCGGACGAACGCGAAGGGCGACCTGAAGACGCTCACGCAAGGCACGCGCGGCATCGTTTCCGGCAGCCTGAAATTCATTGGACTACTGATCTACCGGTTCTGCAGGCTGACCGCTCCGTACATGTTCGTGCTGGGCGTCGTGCAGATCGCGATGAAATGGTTCCACTCGAACTCCGTGTTCGAGCCGCCCACCGCGGACCATTACAACTGTCCGAATTATTGGTGGCGGAACTTGCTCTATATCAATACGCTGTTCCCAGTTGAGCAAATGGTGAGTGATCGTCTCACCGTCGTCTTCAGGGAGTCGTACTTTCTATGGGTTCGAAGGACGAAGACGGGTTAACCCTTTGAACTCTGTAGGCTCCAATATTGCAGAATATTAGATATTTTAATGAATCTTAAAGAAACTACAATTATTAGATTTTTCACAGATCAAAATTTTGCACTAAGGAAAATAAAAGATCTAAGAAATGTTATAGCATTCTCCATTTTCACTAGGGATACTATAAAAATTAGTTGCAGTTGCTGATAGATTACGAAACCATCTAGAGTGCTAAGAGTTAACCCCTTGTCCTATGACTTCTTTGTGAACTGCGATCGATCTAACTACTTTGTCATTGATAATTTATTGGAAATGATCGAAAATTCCAGTCTTATTCTATGTCAACATTTCCTTTAAGGTGTAATCATTAGTAACTTGAATTCAAACAAATTGAATAATATCGATGCTTGTTAAATTCTATTTGGAATCTTCATCACGAGTCTCACTCGTCATTGTACTGCAAGGGGTTAATCGCTCGAGGTCGCACCTGCTACCGAAGGACGCCTCGACCGGTTGAATTTTTCTATCTCTGACAATCTCCTTTGATATACACCGACGAGCTTTCCCTAAAGTTCAACCTTGCTTCCAGTGCATGATCTGGAGCTGGTACGTCGCGGACGACACGCAATTCTACATCGTCGGCGCGGTGATACTGGTCCTGGCGACGAACCACTTCAAAATCGCCACGTTCGCGCTCACCACCCTGCTCCTCAGCTCATGGCTGACCACCGGGTACATCGCCCTGGCGAACAACCATATGCCAACCTCCGACGACCCGCTGGCGCTCTTCGACAAGATCTACGACAAACCGTGGACCAGGCTGGGACCTTATCTGATCGGCATGTCGATAGGGTATTTTCTGTTCAAGACTGATTGCAAGATCAAGATGAGCAAGGTAAGGAAGATGGCTGAACGTAGAGATACTTTGCTCGAACTATTCTACTTTTCCTGTGAAACTAAGACCACTTGTTGGTGGTTTTGTAGACGACGGTTTGCATCGGCTGGCTCTTCTCTTCGGCTTGTCTCCTGAGTTTGCTGTACGGCTTGTACGAAGCGGATCTGAGTCCTCTGATGGCTGCCGCTTATTCCTCGCTGAGCCACAGTGTGTGGGCGCTTGGACTGTCGTGGATCGTGGTCGCGTGCAGCACGGGTTACGGAGGTAAATGATTATTCTCGATGGTGAGAATTACAGAGGGATTATTCTCCAAGTATTGAGATTAGGTTCTCGCAGGTCCACGGTGCCTAAAACATTTAACGAACCAGGTCGTTCTAGGCCCTGCTACGCTGCACTTACGTTGAATGCCGTGGGTCACCGGTGACCCCCAAGGAAATCAGATGACTACAGTTGATTCAATTAACACTAGAAACCTTTTGAAAATTCTGCTAAATTAGACACTGAATGCTTACATCAACTTCTTGTTGTTTGAATAGTTAACACTAGAACTACCAGTCAAAATGACTGGTTTCCATTGTTGTTTCACAATTATTGGTATCTTGAAAGCATTGAGTATTCGAAATGATCTTGATCTTAATGCGGTGATAGTCTGCTTAACGAATATGCAATAATAGAATTCAATCAAATGATTTATATTTTTGCTCTGTGGAACCGTGCGTTCAACGTGTCAAATGTAAACGCGATTTCATTCGTTTCCAACGTTCACAGGGTATGTTAACAGCATTCTGTCAGCGCCGATCCTGTACCCGTTCAGCAGAATAACATACTGCGCCTACTTGATACATCCGCTCGTGATCCGACTGACAGCCTTGAACCTGGACTCGCCGTTTCATTTAGGGAATTATACTATGGTAGGATTCTACAGAAATATTATATTTTAGTTTCGCTCCGTTCCAAGTCGACGCAGGGTGAAAGAAATGACGACGTATGTTTCAGATGATCACATTCCTTGGACAAATGGTGCTATCCTATATATTGTCCTTTATTATATCGTTGTCGTTCGAGGCTCCCATAGTGAGCATGCTGAAAATACTTTCCCCGAAGAAACGGAAACGCATACAGTGAGACAGTGATATAGCTGTTAAGCAGAACACACACACACACGTCTGGTAATTATTTATACACGTCTTTATTGTAATCGATGCTGAAAGAGAAGAGGAAAGATTCTTGTGAAACAATGAGGACAACGACGAGTTACAAAACATTGTGTGTGTGTGTGTGAATGAGTGAGTGAGTAAGTGAGTGAATGAGTGAATGAGTGAGAGAGTGTATGTGTTGTTGTAAAGCTATGTGTAGTCTTAACCTTTCGTATGTATTGTTAAACATCAAATAAATTATTTGTCTTTTTACGTTTGTTTACTTTGACCGTTCAAAAATGTTTCATTTCTTCATCACGTGTATAAAATATGCATTTGCTTCTTGTAAAAATGATCACTGGAAGTTCCCCTGAATGGTATTAGTAACTTGTAGTATTATAATGGAATAACAAGTGTAAAATGCTTTATAGACCATCCGTTGCAACTTCAGTACGGATTTCAACATAATGAGGTCCTTGATCCACAAACTCTACAAACTTCTCCATTGTGCATGCATCAAATATATTCGATTCAGCCTGAGTCAAGCGTTTGACAACTTCGTATTTAGCTTCCTTACACTCCTTAAAACTTTCAATGTTTCTGTCCAATAAAAACTCTACTAGGCCTGGGAAATAAGATATGTACTCCTGGCCCCACACTTGCGACGCCACAACCGTCAATACTTCTAAACCTGCTTGTCTGATGTCTGCGAAAGGTTGCCTACAGATCGACACGATCATATTCATTGGGTCGTCGCAAAGAGAATCGAACCATGATTTTGTTAAGGATAAAATTCTGTTATCCTGTTCTGACTTTTTCACGTCGAGTATACGAGCTAAATTTTCAAGTCCACGAATTCTCAGTGCTGTAGGCATTCTCTCTATAACTTCAGAAATTTTCTTTAGAGCATCTGGCATTGCATCTCCCAAAGCCTGCAAAGCATATTTGCCTTCTGCGCTTGCAGAAATATATCCCAATGTGTCCAGTGCAACACCGAGAATAGCTTGGTCCCCATTCTCTATTACTTCGAATAATGCAGAGACTACAACTGGATATTTTAAAAAGATTTCATTAGGCCAATGACGTGCAACATTCCCGAAGAATTTCATTAATCCAGGAATTAACAGATTTGATAGAGGATTTTCATTGGCCTGAGCTATTTCTTGAACCAGTTTTCTCAATACTTCCTGATGCTCCAGATAACTTAGTCCTTCCTCTGTCAATGCCAATTGTGTTAAGATTTCTAATGCATTTACTTGAAGCAATATGTCTTCACTTTCCAGAGTACTTAATAAACTGTTTAGAAAACCAGATTGCGCGGATGCTTCTAATCCTTGTTTTGAAGACTTTGCTATGTTCACAACAACTTCGTATACACGGAAACTAATTGTGTCACTCTGTGATAATAATCTAGCGAAGCTCCTTAATAGTTCACCGGTATATATAATTTTCAATCCATTCGGATTTCTCCCAATTTCCTTCATTATACACATTGCACACTTAGCTACCGTCAAATTATCATCTGCAATTCTATTTATAATATCAACTAGTATACTTATATCTTTAAGTAACAGAGATATCGCTTGTGGATTCGATGCAACGCATAGGAATTCATGCAGCACAAGCGACCTAACTACAGCATCACGATGAGTTATCAACTGAGACATTTGAATTGAATATTTCTCGTATATTTCGCCAGGCTCTGACAACGAAAACAACGTCTTCAAAATATCGCATATTTCGTTTACAAAATCTCTGTAAGTGAAGAAATAATAAGGGTTTAATTCAACAATATTTTTCAACTGCGTTTTACCATAGAAAAACGGTATTTATTCTAAATTTAAAAAATTAGCAATGTCATGGTACCTGTCGTTCGAGGTTAACTGAGCGAACAACTGACCGAAGTTCAAATTTCGAGAGATTTGTTCAGATTCTCTGTTATTCAAACTTCCCAGTTTGATTTTAATTTCCGAGAGAATATCCTTTTTATCTTCAACGGAATTTAGTTCGCCGAGACGAACCAGTTTTCCTTGTAACCACTCCGTCATGGCCGGCGTACTGACATTACTTTTTTTCAAATATATCAACAGTCACAACAAAGCTAAGTACCAACCTAACGTGAACCTAAATTGGTTAGTGATTTACGGTACTGGTGAGTATTGAGCTATTTAAAGATGACTGCAATAAAAAGTCATGTTGAATATATTTGAAATGTTAACATTTTTGGCGTAAAGAAAATTGAAGATATTCGTTACAATTCGAACAGAATATATTATTGGTTTTTATGGAAAACTAAACACGCGACATCTATTGTTAAAACAGTTACATGTGTCCTAGGGGTCAATGAGCTTTTATGTTTTTACCCTAGAATCTACAGACCGTGCAGATTTTTCCGTCAGTGCGTTTTCGTACGTCATTAACGTTGTTCTGTATGGTTGTGTTTCGAGTTGTTGCCCTTTCAATTAACAAAAGGTAATATGAACCGAACGGTCGTAATGACAGATTGCACCGATTAGGAGAAAACTTCACAAATATTCCTAATTTATAGTTAAGCAATGTATCAAATTCAGCTATATATTACCGTCACAGCATATCCTGTATTTTCGTGTTACCTTATCGGGTCATTCAGTAATACTTGTTACTGTATTCCGCTAGACACTCTATACGTAAGAAATTTTCAAGTTAAACGTACTTTTTCTGTAAAGAACACAAATGGTTTACCTTTAATGTTTATAAAAGTACAAATCTTTTTGTAATGACTGAAGTGTATGTTTCCACTTGCACACATAGTTTTCAATAGTGCATTAAACGCTTTTAGAAGTAGTTTAGTTTATTAAAACTTTCATGTTACATTTACCTAAAAATCTGTCTATAATTATTATGTTTAAATAAATAGTAAGATGAATAATTACATGCAACATTTATTTTATGCAGTGTGTATTAAGAAATGGCGACAGACCAGGATCCAAATGATTCTGAAATACGACTATCAAGATTTCTTTATGTTGGGAAAGAATATCCAGATTATCAACCAGGAAATTGGTTTGTCCACAACTACTTTTTGGCTAAAAATGTTCCATCCATAGAAGAATTAGCCGAGAATACAGAGAAGCAATTAGTTCCAATTGAAATAATTACAAAGGTGAGGCTTTAATGCCTTTAATCAAAGTAATCAATATTTATATTATATTCATTTGCAGGCATTTGAAAACAATGTTGTTCCAAATCCAGAAACATTAATATTTGCTCTTGCTGTTTGCTGTAGGCAAATGAAAAGTGAGAGTTTAAGACACGCAGCATATGCAGCCATGAATAAAATCTGTGCAACACCACAACATTTTATTTTGTTTATAAAATTTGCTTCTCAAATAAGCAAGCAAAAGGAGCTTGATGCATCTGGCAGTTCGAAAAATGGATGGGGTCAGGGTTTAAGGAAAGCTGTGAATAACTGGTATTTATCAAAAACTCCAATGGAATTAGCAAAATGTGTCACAAGATACAAAGGCAGATATGGTTGGAAGCATAAAGATATTATAAAGTTGTCTCATCCCGTGCCGAACAATCCTGGTATTTATTTGACCAAAATTCAATGATCAAACAAATAATTATTCCCCTATTAACGAATACATTGTTAAACAGGAGGAGAAGTTGTTCTTAAATACATAGTGCGTGGTTTGGAAGAAATTGAGAAAGCATATGCAGAAGATTCCAGATTCACAGAGATAATACAGTACATTAAAAATGTAGAGGACTTTAAACATTGCACAGATGAAATTCGAGCAGCTGGTCTTCTAGAAATGCATAAATTAACATTAGACCATATACCTGGGCACTTGCTGAAATCTAAAGAAGTAATACCACATAAAAATGATAAACTTGAATTTATAATTTTTACTTTAATACCTTTGAGCCATAAATTCATCATAATTTTTTAGGTTTGGAATGCATTAATACCATCAATGAACTTAAATTTACTTTTAACTAACCTACAGAGAATTCACAATCTTGAATTACTGAAACCAAACTCGTTAACAGTTTCGAAAGTAGTAGATCAAATCATTAAAGAAGAAGCTAGAGACAAGGTTCATCCAGCTTTAGTATTAATTACGATAAGGGATTATGAAAACTCTGGAAAGTAGGTAATAAGTATTAAACGAAAAAATATGTAATCATTTATGTTTTCTAATCTATATTTCCTTCAAGGCCCCTAACATACGAGAAAAGAAAGATCAAAGAACAATTTCAGAAACCTTTACCATCTCCGCCCAAGCCAAATTCGAAAATTATCGATGCTCTCTACAAACTGTTGAATCTTTCATTTAATGTGAGTATCCGTTATCATTTTATATTACACTTTCAAATTCGCTATTCTCTAATGTACATGTATTCAATGCAGCACGTTCAACCGACTGGTTTACGTTACATGGTAACGATTAATATGAATAAAGTGATGTTAGAAACGCATACTTGGCGCAGTGGCAATGTGAACGGTGCAGAAGCAGGATGCATGATCGCACTTGCTCTTCTTCGCAGCGAGAAGAATGTTACCGTTGCAACATTTAAAAACGTTGGAATTCATGCTGTCAGCATTGACAAAACTGCTTCCTTTGGCCAGGCCATGAGGAGATTGCAGCAGATGCCCGTTGGAAATGTGAATTTGGGTAAACCGATGTCGTGGGCTGCTCATCAAAATAACAAGTACGACGTGTTCATTAATGTCGTAGACCGAATATTCGAGAAATCTGATACTTCCGAAGAAGCTCTCCAGGCATACAGATTAAAGATGAAACTTCCAAATACAAAGTGAGTTTCCCAAGTAACTTCATCAGTTTATTGTTATCGGATTTAATACTAGATAGTATAATTTAATAATTATACTTGCCATTCGTTTCCAGGTTGATTAATTGTGCTGTATGCTCCTCATCGACTAATTACAAGGAAAAACGGGACAATAATGTTTTAACGATTAACGGCTTCGACGCCAGCGTTCCTGTAGTTATACAGGCTTTCGCAAAGTCGTTATTCTAATTGCTGCAGTATAGCAGTTCTTTCTTTAACAAGCAGTACTAGCTAATTGATTACCATGCTTTTAAAACGACCGTAACTCGATTATTTAAAATTTTCTATGAGATCGTCAATTAAGGAAAGTCTCGAAACATTGAAATTATTGCAATCTGGTTTGAGGAGAAAAGAAGTAGTTTTCAGTAATCTTTAAATGTTGCTAGTCTAATTACTGATACAGTAATCAAGGCATGCAATAGTTTAGCACAGTTCTATAAACTGTTTTATAGTTAAGAGTAAAATGATCCTCATAGTTTCATTTCCGAATCTCGATTACTAAAAAGGAATGACCGTTAGACGATAACATTTGAAATTTTAAAGAGCAACAGCGTTTACAAAACAGTGCCGAGGAAATTGTTTGGGCCTCAAAAAACTTTCTTCCGTATTACTGTCTATAATGACGTTACATTCAGTTTTAGTACAAAGTCATAAACATAAGAAACTACGTTCTCGATGCTTTTTTTTCTTTTTTTTACATGTGTTTGATACGCGAGAAAGAATATGCTGGCACTGAATAATTATTCAGTACTAACTTATATTATTATAATTATCTCATATTAATACTAACACATCAATATTATTCAATAATATTAAACTGCATATTTTTAGCTTTTAGGGTGAGCTGTGTAGCCTTCGACGATGGTAAAACTTCATTTGTGTTCTATAGAGGGTGGTCCAATGAATTTTTGTAAATATTTATTTAAACGAGCGGCACACACCGATGATCAAGCGAATCAATAATTGAAAAGTAAATAAATGTGATACGTCTGTGATGAATCATTTGATTAGATAAAGGGAGAACGTTTCAAGTAACTACGGACCACTTGGTATCATTTACAAACAGGTACACGTTTATAAATTTAACGCTTTCCATTTTATAAGATCAGTTGCGCAGCTAAATACAAAAAATGAAAAAGAGGAAAAAAGGTTTAGGATAAGACTGCATAATTAGATACGAAGAGGAGGAGAGAAGAGTATCTAAAAAAAGTAACCTAAGGTGCATTTTTAACTAATGGTAAAAGAAAAAAAGATACATTTAGTTTAGTACTAATTGCCTGCTTATTTCCACTGATTGACGGTAAAAGGTTTCGATAATATCTTTGATAAGAACGATATAGATTTAATGTGATTTTTAAGACGACACAACTCTGGGACTGGTGCGCCTCTGGCGATTTGAATAATAATTAAAAGACGAC